AATTTGTCACTGTAAATACTTGCAAGTTTTACATATTTCAGACTAAAAACCAATGGCATATTTGGTGAGATTTGGAGACACTTTCTATTGTTTTACTAAAAGTAAAGTTTTGTTACGAAGAAAAAAGGGAATGAGAGACTTGAGTAACTATTCTTTGGTGAGTTTCTCTATATTTATTTAAATGGGTGTTATCAAGTAAATAGTTTGTATTGTTTATACAATCCCGGTTGTAAGTTATGCTATTACAATCCTGAGCTATGTATCCTTTTTTGGATAGACTTTAATAGTTCAGGCAATATGTAACTAACGTGTCTTTTTTTACCTTCCTGATAACTCTATTCTCCTCATAAGAAATTGTGATCTTCAGCATATATATATATATATATTACATTCATGTTCTTGTAATTTTATACCTATGCATCTTACACGTGCTTGTGCATGTATGTAAATCCCAACATCAGCTGATTTCGTTCTTCAGTAAAATATACTTTCACTGTAACAGTTACTTGTGACTAAATATTTGGTTTTTTATTAGGGGTTCGATGATTTGAAATATGCATGGTCTATGTGTTTTGTATATCAGAGTTATCGAACTTATTGTTCATCGTATAGGCAAGAACACAATGGGTTTGTTAAGAGATAAACAAGTTCCAAACATCAAAAATACTTTGAGAGCAATCACTGTAATAACGTTGATTAAAGTCAGCAGAAATTTAGTTAACTGAATTTAGAGATAATTCAAATTAAATTATGGACATATCTACAAAACAAATTATTCTAACTTATGCAGTTAAATAAATTATTCAATAAATATACGATTTTATGTTTTCACGATATGAATCCCACGGAGAATTCAACAAAATATTTGGACAAACTATTATTAAGTGGCTTTGCCTTAAGTATCTCATTTGATCTTTACTTTTCTCTGGATCATGAGCTACCAGTATTCCTTCATGAACCTTTCCATTTTGTCTTTTTTTTAAGGAAATTTTTTGTCATTATAACTCTTAGTCCCATTGTTCTCGTAATTACTTAACGAATTCTTCACTGTCTAGTGCATGAGATTTCTCCAGTATTTGGTTAACCATACATTTGAAGGTATCAGGTATTCTATATACTGACCATATCAACTTATGCTCTCCTACATTTTTTTTTGGTTTAGGTGACATTGTTGTAAAACAAGTATCCTTAGATCAGTTGATTGTAATCCAATGGTTCACATTGCTAACTTGATAAATTCATGATGTTATGCAGCCATCATAAAAACATATTTCGAATTAAAAATAAGAAAAGGATACGCTCGTGAACATCTTAGTTAACTATGTGATATTTTTTAATTTTCTTAGAAATTTTCATAAGTTGTTTCCTTGATAATTATAAGTTTTATTTTTCTAGCCCATGTGCTTAGAGGACTTGCTGTTATCTGATAGAAGTATACGAGCCTTTCTGTGTGTTTCTGTGCGATTGTTTGTGAATATCCCTTTATGTTATGATATATCCTATTCACTTAAATGTGAAGTCAGCACTTTTTGATGCCGTTATCTGTAAGTTCATCTAATACTTTGGTTCGTATGAGACTAGAATCACACATCTTTATGATTTGAGTTTTTTGATTTTTCGTTTGTTATTTCATAGTTTGTCAATGACTATCTTAATTTTGTTTGACTCAATCGATGTACTTCAGTGGTGGTGTGGTATTCTCACTAACTGATGATAGTTGACCACGATCCTCTTCACATTGTCCTTTGACTCTGTAGATGCGTAGCTATCAAGTCGACATTTATACAGAAGATTTATTCAGAATTTTAGGAGTTCCAGGCTTTTCAAATAGCTGTGTCACTTTGTCAATATAGGCTTTGGGCTCCATCAGAACTACTCCTACATCTTGGCGTTATTTGTCCACCTTCATTGTATCTAAACAGTTTCAAATGTTTTCTATGACATTTCTCTAGTAATTAATGTTAATCTTTGTTATTCCTATTTTTTCTGTCACTTATGTCCATTGCTGCATATCACATCAAATCCCATTGTTACGCTCTAATAAGAATATGGTTGTAGGCATCTGAAGAAGAATCGCGAAATGAAGTGAGTTCAAGTTGTCCCGCCTTAGTTGTTATTTTAACTTTATTCAAACGTTTGAGTATCAAATCCGTTTTTGGAGAATGATTTTAGCTATAGGGCAGAGTAGATTTAAGACGTTAAAATCCATGGCTAAAAATTGAGTTAACAATGTTTGACTAGTTGATCATATATTCGAAGTGACCATGTGTGTAAAATTTGTTTTTTCTATGATTTACGTCACAGAACTTCATTCTGTCAGATGAAGTCTCCAGCCGTGAAGTTAAAAAAAAAAACACTGAATAATGATTAACTACTTATCCCTTAGGGTTATTTCAAGACTTTAACGAAGTTTCTGTGGTCTATAGACTTTAAGTTTTTGATACTCTGATAAGCAATTGATATTACTTATTCAGTAAAAAGTTCACTTTCGTTCAGTGATGGATCTATAAAATAGTCCTTGTGATATTGTGTGGTGCTAGTACGAACTAATGGTTCCTTTGTGCGTGATTGAGCGCTGACTACGAATTCCAAATATAATAGGTTCATTTGCACTCATCTAGTTCCACATGCTTCAAATTGCACTATTTTGGAAATTCCAGCACACTAATTCGAATATTTCAGATTATCATACTTGGGTTGCGATGGTGTCAAATCTTGGACAGTTGGATATTTTAATTCAAGTGAGGATCACTTTGTAGACTACATAGAGCGGTTTGAAACCTGGTGCATGACTAGAAAAGAAACTAAAAATGATCAGTCTACAACTTATTTCCTGACATTCATCGTCAAGGAAGCTTATAACCTGCAAAAGAACCTGACTTCCACAGAGATGGCGTCGAGTCGCGATTGACTATGACCACTACTATAGGAAGACTGCGTGCCAGATATCGACTTTACTTCTTTGGTAGGCCAAAAACCAGAAGGCTGTTAATGGTTGCAATAAGATATATTCGCTGGCGATCTCGTGGTATCGAAAGAATACCGGGACGTGCCGAAGTTTACAGGCGAAACTGCGGAGCGCAAGCGCGTTCGTGCAAGCGAAATGGGCAACGGAAAGAAAAGTGTCTACGGTACAGTTAAGCAAACAAGTACAGTGAAACAATCACTGGTACAATTGATTATAATAATAATTGCTGCCATTATACTAATCGCGTTCTCGTCTTAAAAGTAGATCACTACAGGTTCTCGCGGTCGAGTGATCAAATGTTTGGGTGATATGGAAGTATCAGTTGTCATTATATAGACGCAGTATGCAGTTTATGAAAACATCAATACACACACACACTTGTGAATATGAAGTTTTCTATCGATTGTATATATTACATTGTGATTTATACTGCAGACAACTATGTCCCATACTGATGAACGACGTTGATCAATTAGATCGGATGACAACTCAACGAAATTCGGGACGGCATTATTCATTTTGAAGATCTGTAATATGTATGTGTTTATATGAACCAATGATTACTTTGTACTTGATGACTGCTTGATTTCGAATTCCAAATACAATGGACTCGTTCGTGTTCATATAGTACTTCATGATTGGATTGTGTTATTCTTGGGATTACTAGTTTATACTATAATTCAAATACTCATAAACATCACATTGGCGTTGCGATGGAGCGGCTGGATATACATTCATATTTTAATGCTTTTGCGGGTTACATGGAGAGGTTCGAAATCTGGGCTATGATCAAGGAAGATACTGGGGATTTTAATATTGTGGCTGATTTCCTTACGTTCATCGGGAAAGAAGCATACAGCTTAACAAAGACTTCGGAATTTCCAGACAAGCAGATTTCACTCCCTTATGCAACTCTCAAGCAACTATCACTAGACCATGTAAAGTGTACAAATTTCGAATGGGGTGAAGATTGAAAATTTAATAAAATGATTCGTCGAGACATCAAAAAATCCACTACTACGTCGTCTCAGTCCAATGCGTAATCAAGGTTATTCCGACAACAATTCATTGAGGAGTTGTGAAACAGTTCACGAAGATGAGCACAAGTTTGTTAAATGCTTGTTCTGTGGCAAGTTTCACCTATGTAATTCGTGTGTATTTTGTAATTCTAAATGCGTTAAATGTGGTAAAACTGAACACCTTCGGCCAGTTTGCAAAACCATGAACCATTTACCTGGAAGTAATACTAAGGTGGATGTTTCTAATGATCACTTATCATTATCCAAGACTTCGAGAAGCGGTATGACGTCAGATAGCAGTCCAGAGTTGAATGAAATTCAGAATCATTGTGAGACAAAAGTTTTTAATCAACCAACTTCATTCGAACAACCTATATAAGCGAACAATATTGTTTTCGATTAGATCCTCATCAGGCTTTACTCTAATATACAGTAATATTTATATGCATATACGAAATTATTAAACACTGAAATAACATTCATAAAAATTATAAGATTATGTAATGAGAAGTGTTCAGATCATTGGACCGTGAAATATATATTTGAAAAAAATGAATAAATAAATAATTGGTGGGAGGGGGTGAAGAAAAATAAACGAAAAAGAGTATGGGAATAATATGTTGAATGAGTCAAATCATGATCAAAAACCAGATTCAGTTTTGGTAGATGCTGATTTTTTAAATTATCCATTGTTCTCCAATGAAACTCTTAATACATTCGGGGAAAACATTTCAGAAAAATCAAATTCTGATATCATATCAAGTGTCAGTGGTACTCACAATGGATTTATCTCTAGAGATATCCTCAATGACTGCGACAAATATGTTACCGATGAGTCGAATTCTGGTCATATTTTTGATGTTATTGTACCAGATGTTGGATATTCTCCAAACCAATGTGTGTCGAGTAGAATCCCTTGTCAGTAGTACGATGAATCAGAGGGAATATCAAGTTTTCCCGAAGCAATCAAAGATTCAGTTTGCACAGGCAGAAAATCCAAACCAGGTCCAAGATTATCCTAGTGAGTATGAGGCAGATGCATGTTTTCCATTTGATTGCTTCGTAGGTGAATTAAGCCTAGATGAATCATATGTTTTAGGTAAACATATCAATGCATATTTGTCAGTGTATTCTGATATGAATAACAAAAAGAATATGCGTCATAATTTGTATTCAAGTCAAAGTCACATGATGGAATACCTCAAATTACGTGTCAGTGTATATCCCCAAATACTCACATATAATAATCGAAGCGTGAGATATAAGGAGGTAATGCGAATCGGGAACGTCATATTGGTTATAAGATTGCGACGTAAGGACTCTACATTATTTCTTGAGGGGGGATAGTGTTGGAAATTTTATGATTTAAATGTCAGTGGTTTCACTACACAACCGACTTGATGATTGTATATAATTCCAGGAACCTGGTGATTCTGTTTCAATCGCGGTTGTTAATTTTAATACTAACGAATATATTCTAGATAATACGGAGTCTTTATCCAGTACACTGTCGGACAGATGTAAGATGAACTTAAGAAGAAGAAGACGTAAGAACGATTACAGACACTTACACCGCAATATAAACTGTGGCGGATGTGGTGTTCATATGAATCAATAATTTCTTTGCATTGATGATTGTTTTGATTTTGAATTCCAAATACGATACATTCGTTCGTGTTCATCAAGTACTTTATGATTAAATTGTGTTATTTCTGAGATTCCTAATTATACTATAATTCAAATAATCTTAATACTCAGAATAAATGCCAGAAATGTCTCTCAGATTTTTAATGAAGTGCAACATTTGCTTTTACGTCTCAGTGGATGTATCTCGACTACTGTAGATTACAATACTCGTAGACATATATTTATGGAAACGGCCGCTTCATCCTTAAAACGTATTTGTACAAACTTCAAATATATATTAGCGTTGTATCCATCTATCTTTTGCGTGTATTTATTGCCAGAAAATACTATACAACGTGCTTAGTACAAGTTATAAAATCAACTCTGTAGTGATAAATAACTTACATTTAACCTTCAGTAAAACACCTACTGGACGACAGCTAAGCTGATACTACTGCTCAGACAAAATGAACCTCATACGAGTACCTAATGACTGAAATCTCATCAGATTCTAGATAATGCATTAATACTGGTTAAAATGATTTGAGGTAAAGACTTATCATCTATTCGATTAAAGTTTAATGTTAGTGAGTCCAATCGCTCTGCGGAATATTTTATTTCTGAGTTCACCAGTATGTTGAATTTTTCATCATAGTGTGGTGGACCAAAAGTATGATAACCAAAAAAAATAGCAACAAAAGTATTACGTCTGAAGTTTATGTATCAATTAACAGTTAATAAGTTAATTACACATAGATAAAAATAAGGGACGTTACTTAAGTCTTCGGGCTATTGCGTGTTCGGCTGAGTTTGGTCCAAATAATCCACAATTATAAAAGATTAGTAATCCCAATATGGACGATACAGATCCAGTAGGTTTACCAAGCGTAGAATTAAATAAGAATGTCACAATTGTCTATAAATATAGATGATATGCAATGAATATTTCATTTAACATATTTGCAGATATAACAGAACGATGCAGATGTGAATTAGAGTGTATTTAATGAGGAGCAGTAAAAGTGCCACGATATGTTGTACTCAAAACGGAAGGAAGTCAAGTTACAAGGGTTCAAAGTAATACACTTAAACAACAAGTACAATCGTTTAATACTAAATGTATAGAATATGAAAATACATGCGTAAACTATGAAAAATTATTTACAAAATAGGTTTTATGGTCTTATCTCCACATAGTATTTTCTCAGAAGTTGGTGAATAACCGATGGGAGATGTGTTCGTATTCAAGGGTAAGGTAGCTGAAAATTAGCAGTACGGATAGAGTAAAGGATTATTCAAGTCATGAGGAAAACACTACTTGACTGTTCCTGGTAAGGGTCATTTCTCACTTATATCATGGGAGGCCTAAACGCTTAGTTACTATTGATTTAGACAGTAAAACAGCTATTATTTACTTCATAAACTTATTTCTCAGGGCTTGATGCAGATTACTGTCTAGAGTTCAGAAATTGTTCGCATATAGCATGTGAAAACCTATTTACTCTGAATTTTAATAATGTTTACGCGTCTTCGTTTACACCCGCCTATACGTTTTTTGTTTTGGTACATATTCCATTCAAGTCTGAGGATATGAAAACAATCGCAAACTTACATCGGCCATGGGAAGTCAAATGATCCATTCGGAATTTTTCATTGGCAACTGACCATCTTTCATACAACCGTGACATAGATCAGTGAAATAAGAACTTTTCAGACTTAAAGCCGAACACATATGATTTCGTTAAGTCGATATGCGAAGATCAGGTACCTACCTTTGTTAAGCAAACCACGAAGCATCGTCTCTCTGTAGCCATTAAGCTCAGAAACGGAGTTTTCTGACGGTTTGCAACAATTTCATCTCTAGTCAATCGTCTTGATAACAGACTGTGCAAATTGTGTGCGTTGAATTTAATTGAGTACAGTGCCTACTGTTGACTGTGACTCATCGAAGCGCAACGTAAGTACTGCATCTGAATTCAAAATCCCATAAAATCACATTATAATTGTGGTGATCACCGATTTCTCCTCAAAGAAAGCATCTTCGGATCCATGGAGTGTGAGAACTTTCTTAGACTCTCTCTTTCTTCCATCAACTGAAAATTTAAAAGTTGGTGGGACATAGGGTAAAATTTTGGGAAAGGCAAACTGTCACTAATATATGACGATATTTGCACACAGAAATTGGCTTTAGAAAACTTTATGAAATTTCGATTTTTTCTAAATATTTAATTCCATGGGAGCTCCTATTGTGACCTAAAAACGATAGATTTTCAACAATATTTATGTATTTGGGAGGAATGATAGCTCTAAAGAACCGTTAGTAATGTTCAGATAGTTTGTGTAAGCCATATTGATCCTATAAAGCCATAGCGAACAAAACATCAGTCTAAAACAAAACAAGATCGAGACCTCTTCCATAAGGCACTGAACATTTTGTTGCGATTTTCTGGTCGTATGACATACGAAGCACCTGAAACTGGTCAAACTGATTAGTGGTCGCCACCTTTTGAATATCATCTAGAGCTATAAATATTTGATGATAATGTCTAGTTAGATCCACGTTAGTAAATGTTTTCTTTCTATGAAGAGTAGGGGGAATTCATGAATATGCGGGACATGAGTTCTACCCGAGACAATGGAGTTATTCGCACACTAATGGTTGACACATGAGGAGGTAAGCATTTGGGACGAGGTTTGAAAGCCTTAACCATCTCTGTGGTTTGTGAATTGTAGAGTACAGTTAAATGGTCGAAGCCCCGGGAACACTCTATACAAAATTGTTCGAACTTTCTGTATGCAGGAATCCTGCCCAGTCACGAGCTTTCCCAGTTGACAGCCAAAAAGCAGCAATAATCAATCATTCCTCGTCACTACCACGAGTTATATTAAACAAGACTTTATTGTCCACGCTCCAGAGTCATACAATAACAAAATAAAATGAAGGCAAATCTTAAGCAAAGTAAACTAATTAAGGTTCAGTCAAATAAATAAGATTTTACGTACTAGTAGGTAGAAGAATTCACGGAACTACAATACTGTTGGATCTAAACTTTTGTGAGGATTTTTGAACTACTCATTTTGTTGCAAAACTGGCGTCGATTAATAGCGTTTCAGAAGTGCTTTTTGATCTTGCTTACCCAACTAACAAACACTTGTCATATTGACCTATCGGTCTCCATGCTTATGGGAATGGAATCACTTTGACTTCTACATTAGTGTCTGTCATCATTCAACATAGAAGGATTCTCAATAAACTTTTGTGCAGCCACACGCTTGATTGTCTTGTCTCCATATATCGAATGTTTTCAACAGATAAATTCTATGTCACTTGGTGTTTTTGCGAGTCCACACCCCCAGATGTCTTATTGGAATCGGATGACCGAAACCCGGCAATATATTTGAAACTGATGTCTGTAATAAATTCAACTTAGTATTGTTTGTTTGAATCTTCCCACCGATTTGTCAGGACTGCTAGCCACTATCCATCTCTGCTAACCATGCTTGTGAATTAAGGTATATCGAGGCAATACGCACAGTATGCACATATGCCAATTAGAGACTGACCAGTTGCAGTCCTGACAAATCGATGGGAAGATTCAAACAAACAATACTAAGTTGAATTTAAAACTTCACCCCATCGCACAAGCAAGTGGCTATCAGGTCTCAGTGGCCGAGTGGATAACGCGATGGCGTTTGAAGCGAGGGTACTGGGTTCGAATCCCAGAGTGAACATCAACTCTGAGATGCAGGTACATCCAGCTGACGAGTCCCAAATAGGACGAAACGCGCGTCAAACTGGATTCCACTGCTAGTCACTATCCGTCTCTGGTGTCTATAATGCTTTTATTTTGCTGTGATATTAGTTGTTCTTGTAATAATGCACCAGTTCCGTTCTGTTATTTTCGTAAGTAGCTTGGAAATGCTATATCTCTTTGGTATGCCTAGTTTATTGGTCACAGAATATATGTACGCCAGGCCCAGAACGTTTGTGTTTGTCCGGACCTTTTGACCAATCAGAAACTCTTTATGCCAATAATAATTGTTGACTTCTGAAACCCAGGAGGTTTATGCATATGTGAAGTGTGTAATGACGAATGAGGGAAAAGGCCACAGAATGATTAACCACTTCACCGATATTCATGACTATGTAGCACTATTGTGCGTACTACCTTTATAACCGACGACCTCATAGTCAGTCCTACCTGGGAAGCAATATGTAAAAAAAATGTAGTTTGTAGACCATGTCTGTAAAAGGAGCGTGTACCTGCCCTTGCAGAAACACATTATTATTATTATTACATAAGAATGAATATGAAAAAATATTCTAAGTGGAACTAGTGATAATTGTGTGCATTCTGGACTGATAGCTAAGAGAATTTTGTTAAACATGAGTGTATTCGTGAGAGACATGCTCTAGACTCAGTGTTATTCATAATCATATTCACCGGCTGTTGGATCATACAAGTAAGTTGCAAGTATGAAGTTCAGCATAAGGTATAACTCACTAAACTTATGGATGCTGACCAACTAAGGCCGATTAAAAGAAGCTCAAATGTCCTAAATTCTTGTGAGTTGTTCAATGTTTTGTTTTCCTTACCCTGAAAATTTTGCAATATTCTCTTTCATATTCTCTGGTTTGCTATTAGTCCTTACCATCTCATAATCACATATAATCTTACTTGTCACTTATAACCTTCGCCATTAGTTATCTTCATAGTAGTACGATATATTAAATGGATATCTAACCCATAATACAAATGCTATTACCATCTGATTCGCTTGTAACATGGAACTTGTAGAGACAGTGTATTCCAACTATGGTCCTTGATTAAAGCAATATTCATACTGATCACAAACGTAAGAGAGCCTAACATCATAAAAGGAGGGAGGGTGGCGTTACTGACCAGCAAAAATGATGGTGGGGAGATAACTTCAATCCACCCGTGTCTGTAGGGCAGAACATAGTAATTACGGCTCCTTATGTCTAGTGGGATGTCACGAACCAACGGTATTGATGCGAAATTATTCATGAAAAATACCACTTTAGATCATTTTAAAAAAAGCTAAATTGGTTCCACTTCCTACCGAGTAATCCTATTACAAGCAAACTAGACAATTGGTTAAAAACGAAGCCCACTCTATACCCTATAAAATCTAAAAACAAAAAAACAGAGTTCAAACAGCTTCGAAAAAAGGGAGACAGCCATTTGTATCGGAATACTGTTTTCAGCACTTTATTTTATAATTACACAATTTCATACTTTCTTCTGAACTACCTTCATTTATACAGTTCCTTACCCACACTTATTTTTCTTTAACACATTAGTATGTTCTCACCTAATAAATACTTCAGTAACAGACAAATAGACTAAATGGTTATACATTAACTATTCCTCCATGAATATTGTGTGCTCTGCTTTTCGTCCTTCCTTTTTCTTACACCTTTTTCAGCCTCCTGCAGATACTCCACCGAAAACAGATATGGCACGGGTGACTTCGTCCTACACCGTTATTAAAGCTTCAGATATTCCGGAGGGATATAAGTTCGAAACTTCTAAAAGCCCCCAACTTCGCATGTATCTATTCTCGACCATCAGTTGTATGTTGCACCGCTACCTCCATAAAGTGCGCCAAGTGTGATATTGATATGTTTCTTACGAAATCCATTTACATTCATATCTTATGAAATATCAACCCAGCTGAGTAATTTTCAACAGTGAGAATTGTAACTTATTTAACAATTTGATCTTGCCTGTAAACCGGCATGCCTCATGTAACAATCTGTTATTTGAGAATAAATTATTATTATTATTATAATGAGACGACCTTATAAGTTGTTGAAATCGACAGAGCCAATGTGCTACAAATATGTAACATGATGTGCGTTGCTTCCGGCTAAATAAATTTTTACAAGATGATAAACAGTGAGTGATGTTTATGTGGCTACCAAAGAAATAGGTATTATTGTTTTAGGTGATTCTCAAACAGCAGACGTTTGTAGCATCAACGGATCCGGTCTGCTTTATTACTACTAATTGTGATCCAGAAATATTTGTTCATCAAGTGTTAATTTTAATAGTAGGCTACAGAGTTTATCTTGAATGCTTGTTTGACTAACATCTACGTGATAGTTTGGCCGTAATATCAGTGAAGCATGACAGTGCTTTAATTTGGCGACTTCACTATCTGAACTGTGTTCGTCTTTTTAGGAAACTAATATGATAGATCAATTCACAAATCCAAAGACGTATATCAACAACGACTGTGATGGGTTTAGTGAAAAATGTTAAAGACAGTTGGCATAATCATTACATTTAAATAGCATAGATGATATGATGCAATGCATGTATAAGCTAGGCTAACATGTAGGTTGATGAGTAACAGAATTAAGGAAAAAAAGTCTGCCAAAATAAAAAAAATTTTTAAGGTTGAGACGACTTGAAGACCAGTTGTGATCCAGATTGAATACCCAGTATTCCTGGTTGTGTTTGATGCTTTAGTCAGGCTTACCAATGTGGAATTATGGTTCTGAAATTATGGATATATGGTATGACCGCCTTGTGGAATTGTGGTCTATATGGTCATTAGTACTGCTTTATTAATAGACGTAACCCTAACATTGTGGATTTGTCGTGGCGTAACTGCCTAGTGTGTAAGATCTTACGTGGAAGTCACATCATTTTCTACAGTGACTCATCTTATCGTAAGAACCGCCAATATGTGATGGAGAACACATTTAGGCTGGAGATAGATAAATATATTTGATATGAATAAAAGTGATAAGACAACAAACGAGAATGGCCACGCCTGCAAGGCTGAGTCGTTTCATCCGATGAATTGGGTTAACTTCGCATGAATGTTCTCGCTTTCGCCATCATTGACCTTCGCCTGGTGTTACATGTTGAAAGTCTATTTTCTCAATTATCTCATGTTCAGCTCTGAGGATTGTGTGGTTGGGGCCCAATGCCACCAGGGCCTAATCTATAGGATCTTACGTGGAAGTCACATCATTGTGTACACTGACTCATCGTATCTTAACAGTTAACAATATGATGTCTGGAGTTTCTAAAGAACACATCTAGGCTAAAGATAGAGTAATATATTTAATGCGAGCAAAGACAAATGATACAGAATGACCGTGTCTCCAAGACTTAGCCATGTGATGTGATTTATTTAATTGAATATTCCCACATTTTCTTTCTTTTCGTGTCGATTGTTGAATATAAATATTTTCAGTAATTATATGCTCGGCTCCAAAAGTTGTATAATTAGGGTGTATTTACTCCTGCAAATAATAATTGTGTTAATTTCATTGAAAACAAGATCCGAATACAATCTATTTTTTTGAGTCAGGCTATTTCTGGATGTTTGGGGTCAAACAGCACGAAAAGGTATACACATATACTCCAGCTTTTGGTGCAAGGAGAGAAAATAGTATAACAAGAATGGAGGGGTACCTGAAAGATTTTAAACAGGATCATAGTATACGGTTGCTTCTTAGAGTAAGAAACCAGGAAAGGGAAAGCAGGGGAAAATGAAAATATAGCAGTTCGCATCTAGCTTGAAGGCATTACATGTACTAAGGGAGCACACGAAGTGGCATGAGTAGGAAGGCTAGAAAGGAGAACAGAAGTAAAGATGAGTCGATGATTCAGAAAGCTCACAAAATACCCTGGCATTTATCATGAAAGGCTGTCGACAGTGATTAGAAATTTCACAAGCTTCAGATTGAAACAATTTGGCATCATAAATAGAAGCAAACGGTTTAAACTTCTGTATGAAGAATGGTGAAACAACAAATAAATTACCAAAATAAATAGTTATATAAGTCCTCAGCACATATGCTGGCCTTCTTAGTTTTAGCTAACACACCACAACTGAGGACCGTGGTGTAACAAAATATATCAAGTCCAAAAATAATGACAAGATTATGAAATAAAATTATTGTATCGGTAGGACCAGTGAAATATCACTGAGTCCTAATGAAATCATTCGGCTGTTGAGTCATTGAATATCGAACAGATCATCGATTCCTGCTAAAGTCAAGGACAAACAACGATCATCAGTAAGTCATACGCCATGGACTGACCCATGCAGTGGTGGCCACACTTACGTTTGTACCTATTTTAACTGAAACGTTTCTGTAATAACGTCCTGTGTGTTGCACGGTCTTCAAAGCACACATAGTACCTTGATACGACGAAGGGGTAATCCGCGTTAGGTACTGACGGCGAGGTGTGACTTCGAAATTAGTTGTTGGTCACACCATTCCCGTCTAACTCGAGTAGGCTCCTGATCATTCGACAGAGATAGTCTATGTTTGTGATCTATATGTCGATATACTAAATATAACTCATGTAAGATATACTGGACGTTACCCGAATAGTTAGGACCAAGCGGGTTCTAGTTACTTTTGTCTTTGTAATTTACAATTAAGAGTAGGCGATAATTCCAAAAATAATTACTATAATTCTAGTTGTTTACAAATAAAACATGTAATGAGGATATTACTGTGATAGACAGTAAATATAATGAAGTTCGATCATGATAACGGCAGATAATTGAGAAAAAGAAGCATACTGGTGCAGCAGCGTATTCGTGAGAGATTATCAAGGCATCATATATGAGGTATTTCAAAAACGGAAGGCAAGATCAATGGTCGTGTTTTTTCAAACAATACTTTTACAATCAATAATGGTGATTGTAAAAAATATGAAAATCAATGTTAAGTGCAAATAATAATAAAAAATACTTAAAAAGTAAATCTATGTTCACTATCCCTTCAAGGCTCTCGGTCGCACATTCATATCAGATCAGTGGGTGAGCCGTTCTACTCATCCCATTGATAACTTTTAAAGTTTATCTTTGAACTCTACTTTTTACCTCTGGTTTGAGTGGTTTGGTATCCATCAATCATAAAGGTGTTACGAGTAAAGGCGCTACCAAATTTTGAATATCTGAACATATGCTGGACCAAAAGAATATCAATCCTAACTATCTCCAGAAATATCACACGCTTCTGCAACAACGGAAATTTATTATTTGACACGAAAACCTTATGTAACTCAATAGAAATCCTGACATATAAGGTGGGTGCTCATACAGTGTCACACAAAATAAGAAAATATATTACCTTAGAGGTCTTATAAATATTAATAGATTTTCTGACTGTATTTAAGAAAAAGTCCTCTTTTTGAAACTTTCCTCTTTCTTTCCGTTGTTGTAGAAAATGTGACAACTCTATATCTAACCAGGTAACATACAGATAGTTTTCTATTTCGTTCGTCAGTTTGGAGTTTGAATTTCGATTTCAGAGGGAAGGTCAAGTATCGCGCTAGATCTTTCGAGTTGTTGTACTAACATTAGTAGATGGATTTGAACGCAGAAATCAGCTTGCCACACAATGCGGGGGTCAAAACTTTGTATGAATCAGACCTAGAAGATGAAAACTACTCATCTGTGGAGACCTACGGCATTAGAGAACGCAGGCGTAAGTTGCATACTGAAGCAGAGCAGCGTCGTCGAAATGCCATTAAGGTTGGTTTTACTACTATGGTTTACATGACTTACTTAGAGGGGTTTCGAAGGGTTATTAGAGCTCATCCATCCAACAAAAAATGAGTCACTTTCTCCATCTGTTAGGATGAGTAAATCAAGCATATTACATAAAGGTAGTGAAAAGTAGTATATTTGTTCAACAATTGCAGCTATCTATATGATTGAAAGGCTTGGAAAGCAAAAGCACCAGAAATTGTCAGAAGTCGAAAGTTTAGAAAAGGAGGTTAAAGCTCTTCGAATACTATGCTTGTAAGTCCTCGACGAAGTTATTTCTTACATTCAGGAATTATGAGAAAATAGTTCAAAACAGTCCAAATTACGAATGTATGTCTGTTGAACCGATTCCAGATGATACAAAGCTAGAAGTGTTTCGAGTGTTTTTTGACACCATGTTCCGTTCATTTGACAATTACATTGTATTCAATTCTTTTACTGACCTCTCAGCATCAGTGATAAAATGGATTGAAGAGAGCTGTAAACCTGAGGTTAGTTACTAGTTTTCCTGTCATTCTCTTCTGGTGTTTCATCCTACCTCATCTTCAAAGTAAATCTACACATTTTAGGACGGTTTCGATGCTTATGAATTGTTTTTTCTATTACACTGCTGACAAGAGGCACTTGCTATGAAAGCTATAGTCCGCATTATAGGCAATAGGATGAATAGCACTTACGATATAGCCATAATTTACCATAGCTGGCGAGACTGTAATATATGGAAGAATCGGTCAGATTTACGACAACGGGTAGTGGATCTTGGCGCGAAAGTAATTCATTCATTTGGCTAAATAGAGTTTTAGCATTGTAGCTGCCGTAAGTTTGTAATGAAAATCATAAATTTAATTTCTATCCCTAACTATCAAGTGTGAATATTAGTCCTTATCCCTAACACTGGTTTATAACCCTCATTTAGCCGTAGTATGTAGGTGGACACTCCCAATGTCTTTTTGGCGTCGCTCAAAGGTCATCCATAAATTATAATCTCACCGTGAGATCAATGAAAGTCTGTGTTTTTGCTTATAGTGTCAGTTGAAATCAAACAATGTAGATGTAGAGGTTGTATTCATCATATAAGTAGTTTTAAGGAAATGTCTTTATGTGTGATTAGTTCAGATTGTGACGATAAAAAATGTTACTCCACACATGTATCGGCTTTATCAGTCTATATTGATCCTAATTCTTCTCAGTCACTGGACAGAATCGTAGTGAAAATTTTATGGTCTTTGTTTGTAACAGATGATTAGCACTTTGGACACTAATTAACCACTCTGGCTTATTAACTCTCTTATTTCTAGAGAAACCTAGATCAGCACAAAATTCATGTTTAGCATTAACTTACCTAACAGTGAGTAAGAAATAAGTTATTTAATAATTCTGCTATAATGCAACGATTTAAGAGGTATTATGTCGTGCTTTTCATTGTAGTTCTAAATTACATTGGTCGTGATTTAATTGTCTGCATATATTAAATATTGTGAGTTGATTAGGATTTCGCGATCTCCACAACCCCTCTATAAAAGACTAGATTATGTTAGCTTGTTCAATCAGGCATATTTCAAGGCTTGCATAGGAGATAGTCGTATTTCCACACAAAGTTTACCGGTTTTGTCATACAGATTAATCAAAAAGTAGTTAGTACAACATATCATACTTCTGACCTTACTAAAGTGTAGCTGGTGTGAGACGTTTCCTACGAAAAATTACCATTTCCAGAGATACTGCCTACCTCAGGTCTCTTCTCTGCATGAATTATCAGTGAACAGATCAATATAAATCTACTTTCATTTCTAGGTTTTCGATATAACAAAGCTCATCACAATGCTTATTTTTATTTATGTATTTGAACATACATATTGGACACCAAAATATGTATGCGTCACACAATAAAAATGTGATTGTGAAGGGATAGTTAAAGAAAGGTGAGTATAATAAAAAGGAGAAAATAGCGGAAAAAGCAGTTCAGCTAAGAAAAATACAACTAGAAAGGATCCTTCTGGTGTAAGTTCCTCTCATATGAGGAAAGTAAGGGGAAGTCACATCAGGACCTCCAGTGGCTTCCATTCTGAGCCAAGTCTGACAACGTCACTGTATTGCCCCATCTCTAGGAATCCAACCAGGAAGTTTATTATTTATTTATTTATTTGAACACAAACATTGGTATAGAAGGACACCAAATACATACGTGCCGTACAATAACAATGAGGTTGTAAAGAGATAATGTAAAGTGCGTATAATAAAAGGACAACAACGAACGGAAATTAGTGTATGGGAGTGGAATGAGAATAATGATAATGAAAGAAACAGTTCAGTTAGCAAAAATATAACCAGAAAGAACTTTCAATTTTGTGATGAAAATAAACAAAGTTACAGTAGAATCGTCACTATCTGCTGTTCTAAGTCATGTCTGATAACGTCTCTAGCCACTGTGTCGCACCATCTGTAGAACCTCAACCAGGTAGTCGTGAAGGACCAACATAAGCCATACCTGTACAGCTTTCTTCCATACCACGACACCATGTTGTGGGATGACCACTTTTCTGCTTTTTCCAACCATAGCAGCGTCGGAAAATAGTGCACAACGTGAAATTCTCTGGTATGACATTCGTAGTGCATGTCCAGGCTACCGAAGTCGATGTTTCAAGATAGTGACACTAATTGAATTATCATCGTTGTGCTCGAACACGCGTTGCAGAACCTCTTCACTGTCTCAAACAAGACAGAAAGACAAGGCGTATTCAGTATGAGACGATTATATTGGTTGATAATAACAGAAACGACTAAAGCTTTTGTTCAGGATATAATGCTCGTAAATTAATAAATCCAAATACGCTTTGTGGACTTGGGCTGTGCCTATTGTTATCCACTATTTGCTGAAAGGCTGTTGGGAAATACGCCTCACATGTAAAGGCTATCTATTGTACTGAGCTAAGCCCTGATAACTGTTAACAGTGATCGCAAAATAGACGAGTCAGTTATATTTCATACTATATTAAGAAATATTAACCTAATGTTCAGGTTTTTCAGTTCAATCTAGTCCTGTGTTTGATAGTGATGTATCACAAGATGTAAGTCCTTAATCCGACAATCGAGAAAAGCAACATCTATACTTCGAAGCACTCCATGTGGTGTGTGAAATAGGATATATCTTCAGTGTACCAATAGCGATGTGCGTCGTTCAAAAAATGCCCTATCTCTCTGTAACCTCATCAGATTGCCTTTAAAGTGAACCAAAAAAGTTCCTCTAATCAGAAAACCGAATCTTAATGTAAAAGCCGACATTCGAATCTTGACTGTATTATCCTTGATAATTTATGCGCACCTTAAAGTATCAATCAATAACTATTAAAAATTCTTATTCTGTTTCTATAAACTGACTATAACTACTCGTGCAATATATAATAGAAGGGATTTTATAAAACTATTTGTGACGCAATCACTATACTTCTTTTGTTTTATAATGACATTAAGATTTTCGAATTAACGGATTCTCATTTATTTCAATGGGCCTTTTTGAAATAAATTTACTCCATGGGAGCTGAGCTGTATCATTCAAATGCATCATAAACATTGAAATTAATCAATATATGATACTTGGAACCAGTTAAAAACTAATGTTCAAATCAACCTCGATCCTAAACAAAATCCTCAAAAAGACACTTTCATCTTTCAATAATTTCCACTCAAACAAATATGAAACGTTTGAAGTGGTCAGCGGCTAGTTATTTAGAGCTGAAGCTTATATCCACGATTTACCACATATAAATTTGTTGTGAATTCATTCTACTGTTTTGTGAGTTCGGACAACACATGACATGAAGTTAATGACTGTTAGTTTGAGTCATGTGGGGAGATGCAGACTATCTGCGTGGGGTATTCACGTTAACACCGACCAGTGGCTGAATACTTCGGGTGAAATAGCTTAGCATCGTTCTCAACGGCGTAGATGTACTCAATTTTTGTTATCCTCTTGATCTTGAATTCCGATGTTCCTGTATGTATGACTCTTCACTATGTCTTTTCGAATCCTACTCTCAATTTCTATTCTTTTTCATTGTGATTGGTAATATGTTATTTAAATCTCTTCTGCTATACATCTTGTTCGTTTTATCTCGTTATGCTTATGGGCTATGAAAACTTTGACCTCTGTGCATCTGTATCAGACTCTGCTAATGAATCTGACTGACTGGTTATAAGTTCGAGATGAATTAGGAATGACATTAATATCTAGTTTAAGAAACAGTGTCATGTTCAAAATATTGTTTTTTCTAAGGATGTGTTATTTACTTGTATTCTGGAATTATTATAACTGTATGAAGACACTTAACTTTCAAAGTAACAGGTCAGTTTTTTAACCTTGATTCCAATATATAAAGTATTTCGTAATCTAAATCGCCATAGAACTTAGATCATACCTCAAATAATCCAAAGCTATCGATCGTACTTAAAATCATTGGTTGTATTGTTAACTAACTGGACTTGGGTTATTCGTAGTTGACAGTATTAATGAATGATATTTATTTTTTAGTAAGCTTGCTCTGTTTTTCTGTAAGAGCAATATAAGGTCATCTGTTTTAATTGATTAATTAATCTCATTCGCTATCATTTTGATTTTAATGAGAACCATGTGATTATAATCTAAGCTTGAATAATCGAGTTGTCCAGCATACACTGTAAACAATTCGTTTTTCGATTGATACAAGGTTAAATTGGGATCAAAATATTGTACAGTTCAGTCATTTTATCGATTTCGTGCACACGTATGACTGCGCTTACTTTGTAGCATATATTCAGTTTTCAGGGTTCACTGACAAAATAAAACACCATCTTCATGAGCATTAACAGTCAATTCAACCTATACATGATAAAAATGGATGCTAAAATTAGTTTACAAGTATTTGGTCATATATTATCCAAACCTTATCTGATTATAGTGTTACTACCATGGGAACTGTACTGTTTTTAATCTCAGTGTTATTTAGTTATGGTAAATTAATGGATACGTTTTTGTAAACTTTACTGACTCAATCAATTAGGGCTTGTTCTGTAAATACCCATCCAACTCCTTTTGTGATGCTGCATGTAGCATAGAATTGGGCTGGTATTAAATGGGTTATAGATGAGCATGTTAAGTTTATGAAGTCATTGATTTAAGTTGTACATGAATTTAAATGTTTCATTATTGGCATCAGCCATTTGATACCTTAAGGGATATCAGTTTTGTTGACAAAAGTCCGTTCATTTGTCAACCCGCCGTTAATCTTAGGAATTTCCATAGTTTCATTACTTTTTATTCCTTCACACTTTCACTCACTTCTCTTGTTGTATTCTCATATTTTTGTTCGAACTTCTGCTACTGTAATCATCTTCAGTGATTTTTCTTCTTATTAACTTCACTCTACTGATCTAAGGCGTTTTAACTTCGACCAGTGCACATCTTTACTGGATATTAGATATTTATTTATTTACTACTATTTTAATTGGCTCATTGGTTAATATTCAGCTTTCATCCATGAAATCGCAGATTCAAACCACACTCCACCTGGTTCAGTTTGGGTTCCGCGTTGGTACCACTAATCCCCACAATAAGTGTGTCTCAAAGTCAGGGACACGAGTCTGTACCTGGTAAACGAGCTTCCAAGTGGCAGAATTCTTAAGCGGTACCTTAGTTGATAAGGTGTTCAACTTCGGGTCACTAAGTTCTTAGTTCGAACTCCGCTTCAGCTAATTCGTTTTGTGCAACGAGGCCATGTCATTCTCGCCCATACTTATAGTGGAGCTTATACTCGAACGCTTGATGAATAGTTTTTATTATACATTTGAACTACTGTCATATTACGGGATCCATCCATCCTGATTCTCATTGTTGGTTGCTAGATAGCAAAGGTAGATTTAATTATAATTTTTGTTATATTTTGTGTTGTTAGTTGGAGTTCAATGTAGAGGATTGGAGTTATTAAACGCCATTGGATAGATTGAACGATTGCTATACAAAAAGACGCTCTCAGGATAAAAACCGTAAGCTAAGAAGAGAGGCTGGGAGAGAAAAGGAAATATACCTTAATAGTCAGTTATATTCATTTAACGACCATCACCTATTTCGGTATCACTATATTGAATGGGAAGCATGACTGATTTGTTTTTATAAATAGATATGTAATCTCTTTATGAACAGGACTCTGTTATCAAATGGCATGTGCGTTTATTCACGTACAGAACCAATCGTTCAGATTTACACCATCAGTTTTATTCATTTAGGAAAGAGTTTCCTTTTTAGTTAAAGTCTGTAAGATAACTGCTTCTACCTGTAAACTTAGAATAATTATGCGTGAAAAATTAATGACATTTGTGTATTTATTCATGAAGTTTTATTGTAATCAACATAATTATTGTCATTCACTGGACATTAATTATCTTAACTTCTACGTGTAAGTAACAAACCCGTCACCATAATTATCTTTTCGAATTTTTATCATACTGTTCCGTTTCTTGTGTAACATTTTATCAAGTAGCCATTAAACAGGATTATAGAGAGAGTTTGAATTACACTTTTGTGGAGCAGTAACTTATTGATTAAATCAATCGGAATTAACGAATCAACTCATTAGTCCGAACATCACTTCATTTATTTCTTTTCGGATAAACCTCTGTGGTTTTATTAGCGCTATTACAGACATATGACTCAAAGCCTAAATTATGGAAAACCTATGGTTGGTCATTGAGTTATAAATGGCAAGTGGATTAATTTGGTGAGTCTTTGTCGACTGAGTTGAAGTTTGGATATGTGTTGCGTATGGACAGTTACCACCTACCTCGACTCAATATGTTGGCTGGTATAGGAGTAGGTTAGAACAAAACTGAGGACGATCAAGAAGTGATATCAGTCTCTGAATTCGTTGACTGTTGGTTTGAACAGTGTAGATAGTTCCGAATTACTTTATGGGAATCCTCGTGGTTGTTGTGACTAGTGGTTAAAGATGCAGAGTGACATGACTCGCAATGGAGCAGATGCACTCATTTTTTATCTTCTCTTAGATTATTAGTTTCAAAATTATCTCATACTTTTTGTTGTTCAAACTCATTCTTTCTTGCCGAATCATATTGTCTCTTCCAAATGTTTTCTATAACCAGTGATTTGGCCACTACTTCTACTAATCTGACATGTCTGTGCTAATGTAGTATAGCTGTTTGAACCAATGGACAGATTTGTGAAGTTATACGCTGCTTATAACTGACTGATTGGTTATGTTAAAATTTTTACCAGTTATTGGAAACATTAAGCTAGTGGCTACTTGGAATCAGTAGCTGAGTGGATAGCGCTATAGTGTTTGAAGTGAATGATACTATTTTCGAGTCTTGGAGTAGATACCAACTCTGGAATGCAGGTACATTCATCTGACGAAACCCAAATAAGACGCGATGGAGTCCTGAACCTTACTGCTAGCCACCATCCATATCTGTCTATAAAGTTTCCTGTATACTTTAACCGTAGTTGAAATTGTTCAATAAATATAGTACCAATTTTTTCTATGAATAGTTATTTATTTACTTCTAATTTCAGAAAATGGCATTTCTCATGGATTCTGTCCTAACTAATATTTTTAACCAGACTACTGAAATGTCTTCCGTTAGCAGTCGAAAATTACAGTGTGATACTTTACCAATTTATACAGATTGTAGTACCAATGATTGTCAGAATCGCTCCGAATCTATCGGATCCATACACCCTTCAGCAGAGTCATTACTTCAAATCAATCCGTTAATAGGTCAATCTTCAGTTTACACTTATTCATCTAATAATCTACAAACACTTACACTTACACCAACTACTAACATTAATAATTCCACAGTTGGTACTGAGAAGCGCACTCAACTTAATCCAAAATTTCCTATAATTCCTCAAGGTAATTCCCATTCGAATAAATTAAATATTGTTCGATGTCCACCTCCACTTCCACCAGCACCAGAATCTGTTACTACTCAATCACAAGTCAGTCATATCGATGTGAACTTTAAACAATGTGGGCAGCCATCAAAAGATATACGTGAAGGTGATAATGCATTTTATAATTTTAATTCAATGATTCCTAAGAATGGTAATTCTACAGTGGTAGTTATTGATCAGTCATCTTTACTCACTGATGATCAAGTCAAACATGACATTACATCAACATCATCGTCATCATCACCTCATATAATAAACTCTTCTTGTAACTTAATCATGAATGAGAGGAATTTACCTAGAGAGTTGTCGTCATTGCATAATTCTAGTCACGTCCAACAGTATAAAGAGTTTATTGACGATTTATTATGATTAATTTTTTAATATAATCATCATATTCTATTTTTTCTATTAATTTATAATCGACTCAAGAGTTCTTTCACTGTCTTTATCCTCTTTCAACTGAATCCACACTTGATCAAAAACACACACACACACATACTTTCATTTTCAAGATTTATACATATTTAGTTATTGTGTACCAAATCTATTTTTATTTATCTTGCTCAATCTTCCTCCACATCCCATTCTGTGATATACACAGTGTAAACTCAAGTTTAATCTCCGCTAATTGTAGAAATCCAATCAAAATTATTGACTCATTTATTTGTTTATTTGTTCATTCACATGCTTGGCTATCGTAATTCCTCTTCTGTCTCTGTATTTTGTTATCACATGTATTATTACTATTGTTAATATTACAATTTGACGGCTTTGTCTTTCGGCATTATTCTATTAACATACTTATTGAGCGTACTTATGAAGAAAGACAAATGACTGAATATCATCAATTCTACTTGTTTCTTTAGCGACTATGTATTCTCTAGTGAGGTATGTTGGAGGTTATCTGTGATGAGATGATGCCTGTATTTTCTTTCCTGTTATCTTTGATTTCTCCTTCTGGTTAACAACGATTTGTATTTGATTATCTAACCAATCTTTTTTTCTATCTTGAACTATCATTATTTCATGCTTTGTTTATCTTCTTTTACCCCAAACAATCATTTTACATCTCAGCAAACTAATAATATCAAAAGAGAAAATACACAAAACTTGTGAACTATGACAAGTTGGTTGAGTTTTTTATGGTAAAAAATACACGTCCTGAGATTTTTTATTGCAGTTTTTTACAAAGTGAAATAGGATTAATAATATGATGTAAATTGGTTTTAAAAGTAACAGTTAACAAAAAACCAATCATTAGGCGTTAAAATTCAATAAGCATCAATTAGCTTACACAAATATGGTATTGACAAAAACAGTGTAAACATCTTGATCCTGCAGGTTGTCAGTTACAGTCCCATTAGTTCAAATGATAACGTTTTTGAGTGTGATGCCGGGGTTTCATGGTCTTGATTTTCACCGGTAGCAACAATCATGTTGACGATTGTCAACTAGCTTGAAACATGTCGGTCCGGGATTCTTGTCAGGTACGTGGAGTCTCTCAACGTAGTAAAGTGGTACACGCAGTGAGCGGTTTTCTGAACTAGTCAATGGAATTCGACCGTTGTTGCTACCTTGACGCAGTGGTCGGGCTTGCCTATCGTGATGATCCAGTCGGGCTATGCTGGCTGGAACAATCGTTCCTCAAGGTCCTGCCATGCCAGACAGGTCGGTTGAAGAGCAGTGAGACTAAAAGCAGCAATCCCAAGGTCCGAAGGCGAAGTCGTACTGCTGACTGTACAGAGGTGTGGCAGCAGTAAGGTGTTTCCTTCAGACAACCAGCATGACAGCGATGCTGCCTTCCCACAAGGAGGGGTGGGGTTAGAAATGGTCGACCCTAAAAATGCACACCTCGCCTTATCCCACGGATTTCCGTCTCCGGCGGTAAGGTCCTTTGAAGAACGGAGCTAACACGTCAAAAATCCCCCGCAAAAAGGCCGTGCGTGACCGGCCTCAAGCAGTTGTCCCTTGGGCACTGCGGTCACGCTCCCAGATCGTTATGACCAACACTAATCCAACTTTTTTTTCAGGTCCCTCAAGAAATACCCTTCCACGGTGTGGGCAACTGGGAAGTGATACTAGCCCTCATATCAATAACTGCACACGAGACCAAGTTGGTCACTTTCAAATTTTTCCTACACCTAATAACACTCTTATCTCCACGACTAACCCTTCCCACGTCCTTTTATCACCTCGCACCGCTAGGGCAAACGATTCGAGTACACGGAACGTTATTCCTGGTCTCCTAAAACCACGGTCTAAACTACATGTAGGAACTTTTAATGTCCGAACATTGTGCCAAATAGGACAACAGGCTTCCTTAGCTAGGACTTTAGAATCTTACACCATCGATGTGTGCTGCGTCCCCGAAACGCGCATACAAGATCCGAGTAGTGTCATTCATTTGACCTCACCTAATCAAAATAAAGTTTCATCTCGATACACGCTTCGTGTATCTGGAAGCCCTGATGCTTCTTCCCATGGCCTCGCTTGAGTAGGTATAGCATCAAGTTCTAGGGCAGAACTAGCTCTTTTAGACTGGATCCCAGTAGACAGTCGTCTATGCGCTGTCCGACTAAACGGATCAGTAAGGACCCGGAAAGATAGGGAAATTCGTCGTCTCTGCCTACTCTCCCACTGACTGCAGCTCAGACGATATAAAAGATGAGTTCTACAGGAAACTTTCTGACCTTATCCGAAAAGCTAGGCGTTCTGATGTAGTAATAGTAGCAGGTGACTTTAATGCTCAAGTAGGTAAACTAAGTGAAAGGGAAAGACACCTGGGTGGATGTTATGGTGTCGTGGCTGAAAGAACAGATAATGGCGACCGTCTGTTGCATCTATGCTCAGATAACCGCCTATTTCTTGCAAATACTAACTTTAAGCATAAGGAAAAACATCTTTTGACATGGCGACCCCCGAATTCGTCCCAACGTTGGACCCAATTAGATCACATCGCTATCAGCCACCGATGGAGGGGCTCGATAGAGGACTGTCGCTGATTCTGGAGCACATGTTTAGATTCAGATCATGCTCTAGTGCGAGCACGTATCTGTCTGCGTCTTACTGGACGTAGGAAAGACACTGCAGGGAAGCCTCCAAGGGTTCTACTTAATGATAGGTCAACTAAGAATATATTTCAGGAACAACTAGAAAAACAGTTAGGCAGCCATGTAAGTTATGCCCACCCCGAAGCAGCGTGGAATGACATCCGAAAAGCTGTGGAATCAGCAGTGATATCCACTAGTAAGGTAAACCATAAGGTTAAGGAGAAACAATTGATCTCGGCAGCATCTACCGCACTGATAGATGCTCGTAAACTCTTCCCACCTGGCTCTGAACATAACGAAGAGCGGAGTCAATTTAAGCGCAGGCTAATAAGAAGCCTACGTAATGATCGTGAACAGTGGTGGGTAGCGAAAGCAAGAGAGATGGAAAAGGCAGCGGCAATAGGTAACAGTAGGCAGCTATTCAGACTCGTTAAAGAAACCGGTATTAGGAACCCAAGTATCAGTGAAACCATCTCAGATAAAGATGGGCATATCATTCATTCTCAATCCAGGAGATTGGTTCGATGGGCAGAACACTTTAGGGATCAGTTCAACTTGCCTTCAGCCACACTTCAGTTGCCCACGATCCCCAGTCGTCTTGAATGGCAAATTGATGTAAGTCCTCCAACCCTCTGTGAGGTTGAAAAAGCTATAGGAAATCTGAAGCGAGGGAGAGCAGCAGGCCCTGACAGGTTGACCCCTGAGATTTTTAAGGATGGTGGTCCAGTACTAGCAGTGAGATTGACTGAGGTCTTAGGTAGAATCTGGGAACTGGACGTAATTCCATCTGACTGGTCCCAATCACTGATTGTTCCAGTCTATAAGAAAGGACAAAAGTCCTCCTGTGACAATCACAGAGGGATCAGTTCGACTAATATAGTGTCTAAAATATTAGCTTCAATAATACTAGGTCGCCTAACCAAAGCTCGTGAAGAGCAGACTAGAGAAAACCAGGCTGGTTTTCGACCTGGACGTGGTTGCATAGACCAGATATTCACCCTATGTCAGGTCCTAGAACATAGACACAAATTCAGACGTCCCACAATAGTAGTATTTCTTGACCTTGAGGCGGCATTTGACTCCGTGGATTGTGAGGTTCTATGGCAGTGTTTGTCAGTGAAAGGAGTACCAAAGAAGTACATTAACCTCATAAAGGCTCTCTCTTCGAACACTACTGGTCGAGTTAGAGCCTATAGCGAACTGTCATCAGAACTGATTACCTCAAGTGGTGTTCGTCAGGGCTGTCCACTCCCCTCATTCTTGTTTAACTTTGTCATTGACATACTTTTAGAGATAGCACTTTCATCATCTCAATCTCCTGGAGTTGAACTTTTACCGGGAAGCTCACTTATTGACTTAGAATACTCCGACGACATAGTTTTACTTGGTGAGGACGCTGGCGACATGCAGAGTCTTCTGACCACTATAAGCAACTATGCAGGCATGTTCGGGATGCGATTCTCTCCCCTCGAAGTGCAAAATGTTACTTCAGGTTTGGGTTGCATCGGCACCTGAACTAATGATAGGGAGTGAGGAAGTTGAGCGTGTTGACTGCTTCGCTTATCTTGGGAGTCTCATTAGCTCTTGTGGTCTGGTGTGTGACGAAATCTCAGCACGGATACAGAAGGCACGTCTAGCTTTCGCCAACTTGCGTCATTTATGGCGTAGGCGAGATATCCGTCTAGCAACCAAAGGACGGGTTTACTGTGCAGCAGTTCGCTTCATCCTACTTTATAGTAGTGAAACATGGCCGATAAGAGTAGAGAATATTTGTAGGCTACTAGTATTTGATCACAGGTGTCTTCGAAACATTGCTCGTATATCCTGGGACCACCGGGTAAGTAATGCAGTTGTTAGGAAACGAGTACTAGGTAAGGATGGCAAATTGATTGATGAAGTAGTGAAACTTCATCAGTTGAGATGGCTGGGACACGTGTTACGTATGCCCGACCACCGACTGCCCCGACGTGCAATGTTTCATGGTGTAGGAGTAGGTTGGAAGAAAGCTAAGGGCGGCCAGACCAAAACGTGGCATAAATCCATGAAATCACTCACTGACAAGTGGACTGAACCATGTTGGTAGGTGTAGACTACCTGGTTGGAATCCGCGAGATGATAGCAACCGATGGTTAGAGGCCTTGAATGACATGGCTCAAAATCGTTTGCAATGGCGAAGGTGCATCCACTCTTTGTGTTCTACCAACTTCTGAATTCCTCATGTCTCTATCTTTTTCTCTTTCCAAATTTATTCCACTGTACTATACTCCTTCAATAATTTCTTCAAACCCTAATCTTTTGGATTTCTGATTATACTCCTACTACTTCTACCACTATGGGATTTGAATCGACAACTGCATCTCTGTGCTAGTGTGGTATGGCAACTTGAACTGATGTACGTACGTACGAAGTTCTACAAGCAGTCTAGAGTCTTTATCGGTCCTTCTTCCTGCTTAGCTCTGCCTGTTGAGTTCAGGACACCGATCTCAGCCTCCGTGATAAGAATCATATATTTTAAACATACTGGGTTTATATTAAAAATGAAACAGACCACATCATACCATGAAATATAAAATAACATTTGTACAGGATCTAGCCAAAAGTGTCTGTGAATGTGGGAGACTGTAATTAATAGACTGGGCATAACTTAAGAATGGTAAATCGTATAGTAATAGTCCATAGGTCAAAATAAAGCTTATAGTAAGAGAATATGAATATACATGATTTAGTTACTTAATTACATAACAAAAATATATGTATAGTATTAGTCCATAAGTAGATTCCAACAGTTACCATTCATTATTCGCGTCGAAATATGGCATGTTTATGGAATATCTTTGTGGAACGATAAATAGTTACTTTGGCTTGGAATCTGTTGGCCTGTCACAACATTCTGAATCAAATCTCATAGAGATCACACAGTTCAATTGCTTAAGACATTATCAAGTGTGAAAAAAATTGAAATCGTGTTGTAGATTCTCTCTATAATTCTCTTTTCATAAATAGTTAATTATACTTTATAATAATGAATGAAATCAAGCTCCTTCGTGCTGTAAGTTATCATATGATTTACCCTGTTTATAATTTCTTCACAATATTGTCATTTTATTTTTTATGACATTATTTT